TCCCCATCCTCCCTCCTTTCCTGTACTGCACTTATCTCCCTTCTATTTTCAGCCTTATTGGTTTTGATTTACATTTCCCTAAAGTTTAGTGACATTGAGCAGTTTTTCCTACTTAGTCATGCATCAACTCCTTCATTGATATATTCTGAGGAATATATCATTAAGTGATTTCCTTGCTGTGAACATCATAGACTACACTTACTCACACTGAGATGGCTGTGATGTCACTAGGAGGTCTGATTTTATGGGACTGCTATTGTATTGTGCTCCTTTGTTGATAGAAACATTGAGATGTATGACTATACCTCTTGGTCATTTGTATGTTTTCTTTTGAGATGTGTTTGTTTGGGCTGTTTGCATATTTAATAGGGATTTTTTTATTTCTTTGTTTTTGTTTTATTCTTAAGTTGAACTTCTTATATATTTTAGATATTAACCCTTTATCCTATGAATGTTTTGCAAATATTTTGTCCCTTTCTTCAGGTGATCTCTTCATTCTGTAATCCATTTTGAGTTGATTTTTATATGGCATGAGATAAGGGTCTAATTAAGTTCTTCTGCATTTAGGATATCTAGTTTTCCCAAAACCATTTATTAAAGGGACTGTTCTTTTCTTATTGTGTGTTCTTGGCACCTTTGTCAAAGACCAATTTACTATAAATATGTGAAGTTTTTTCCCCAGGTTCTTTATTCAGTCCTAATGGTTTCTTTGTTTATATGCCAGTACCACTCTGTTTTGGTTAACATAGCTTTTGGGGTGTATTTTTTGAAGTAAGATGTGATGCCACCAACATTGTTCTTTGTTCAAGAATGTTTTGGTTATTGGGATCTTTTGTGGTTCAATTCTATTTATTTATTTATTTATTTACTTATTTTTTATTTCTATGGAAAATGCTATTGAATTTTGATAGGGATTACATTTAATTTGCAAACCATTTGGGTAGTGTGGACATTTAAAAATATTAATTTTTCACATCCATGAACATAGCCAGCTTTTACTTAATGTATGTTTTCAATTTCTTTCATTTCAGTGTATATGTCTTTTGCCTCCTTAGTTACATTTACATGTATTTTTTTTCATTTACATGTATTTTTCTTTTTGATGCTATTTTAAATGGAGTGGTTTTTTAAATTTACTTTTTGGATAGTTTGCTGTTAGTGTATAGAAATGCTAATAATTTTGTATATTTAATTTGTGTTCTGCAACTTTACTGAATTTGCTCATTAGTTCTAACAGTTTTTGGTTGAGTTTTTAGGGGTTTCTATAAAAAATATCCTCAGGTTCTACATTGGAAAATTTAAACAATTGGAAGTAAAAAATATTTAAATAAATAATTTTGATCTTTACTTAACATGTCTCTTTTTCTTATCATTATCTCCCCCAAAAGTACAGTGTATACTCCATGTATACATGGAGTATAATTTACTATTTATTTACAGGACATTTATCCTGTATTAGGTAATATAAGTAGTCTAGAGATGATTTAAAATATATGCAAGGATATGTGTAGGTTATATGCTCATATTTTGCTTTAGGAAGTAGAGCATCTGTGGATTTTCGTATCTGAGCAGGGTCCTGCAATTAATCCCCATAGATATCCAAGTACAATCTTAGTATCATGTTGTCTACAAATAAGAACAATTTATCTCCTTCCTTTCTTATTAGGATGCCTTTTATTTCTTTGACATGCCTAATTACTGTAGTTACCACTATGTTGAATAAAATAGGCAAGGGTGGGCATCCTTGACTTGTTCGTGTTGTCTTCTGCATTATTAACTGAGCAATTTAACAAGTCTATCACATGGAAAACATTGTTAAACTTACAGAAACTATTTTGAGTGGAGGTCCCAGTTCAAATAGTTTTAGGTAAGCATAACACTCAAGGCTTAAATAATATACTTTACAGAAAGATAAGTCTTTGCATATAGATGACATTTACCTATACAGTTTGAAGAAACTACATATTGGGATTGTGTAGTTCTGGTTAAACATGCCTCTGATTACATGTGGATCATCACATACTAGCTAGATTATAGATATGCAAGGGCAAATAAATAATTTCTTCTCTCAATGAGCTGATGGATTTTTTTTTGGAAAGTGTGGAGATACACCTCATTTAAGTGTGTCCTTCTCTTTTATTTTCTGGAAGTAATTATGTAAATTTTGTATTAATACTTCTGCAAATATATGGCTGAATTTTCCAGGAGTATCAACTAGTCCTGAAAATTCTTTTTCAAGATATGTCTGGATTATAAATTCAGTGTCTTTTTTTTAATTATACATGAAAGTAGAGTGTGTTTTGATATATTATATATACATGGAATATAATTTACTCTGATTAGGATCCCATTCTTGTGGTTGTACATAATGTGGGATTTAATTGATGGTGTATTCATATATGAACATAGGAAAGTTATATTAAGTTTATTCTACTGTCTTTCCTATTCCCATTCCTCCTCCCTTCCCTTCATTCCCCTTTGTCTAATCCAATGAACAACTTCCTCCTCCTCCTCCTCTTCTTCTTCTTTTTTCTTTTTTTGTAGCAGGGATTAAACTCAGGGGCACTTGACTACTGAGCCACATCCCCAGTCTATTTTTTCTTTTATTTAGAGACAGGGTCTCACTGAATTGCTTATTGTCTCGCTTTTGCTGAGGCTGGCTTTGAACTCTGGATCTTCTTGTCTCAGCCTCCTGAGCCACTGGGATTACAGGCCTCTGCCATCTAGCCTGGCTTAATCCAATGAATTTCTGTTCTTCCCACTGCCTTATTGTGTGTTAGCATCTGCATATGAGAGAGAACATTCTTGGCCTTTAGTTTTAGAGGATTGGCTTATTTCACTTAGCATGATAGTCTCCATAGATTTAGTGTCTTTATGATTAAAATTTTTCTGATTATCCACTTCATCTTGGTTGAGTTTGGGTAGTTTGTAGTTTTCACAGGATTGATTCATTTCTTCTAAATTGTCAGGGTAAATTGTCAAAAATATTTTGTAGGGTACAGTTGTCCAAAATGTACCTCAATTATTCTTTTGATGCTCTATTATTTATAATGCTATTCTGTTTTGTTCCTGATGCTGGTGATTTGTTTTCTCACTTATTATTTTATTAGTCTTATTAGATTTGCTGATGTTTTTGAATTTTTTTGTTCATTTTCTTTATCCCCCTCCATCCCCCACCCTGATTTCAATGTCATTAACCAACATACTTATGCTTATTACTTCCTTTTTTCTTTTAGCTTTGGATTATTTTTCTCTTATTTTTCTTGATGTAGGAGTTTATATTATAGACTAATGATCTTTTTTTTGAAATAAAGCATTTTAGAGTGACAAATTTATCTCTCAACACTGTTGTATGTTGTTTATTTTAATGTTATACAGCCTTTTTTTTCATTCCATATTAGATTTTGAAATTTCCTTTGACAATTTCTCTTTGACAATGGATTATATAAAAGGGTATTTTTGAAATTACTCATTGTTAGACAAGATCTTCAACAAAATACCAGCAAACCAAATTAACAACACATTGAAAGGATTATATTCTGTGATCAAGTGAGATTGATCCCTGGGATGCAAGGATATGGGAAGCTTCACAGAGGCAATCAGTGAATGTAATACCCTACATTAACAAATGAAGGATCAAAGCCATATGATCATCTAAATACATACAGAAAAGGCACTTGAAAAAATTCAGTGCCATCTTATGAAAAATAAATTCTTAAAGAATCATACCTCAACATAAATATTACCCAATGCTGCAAGTGAATGATTCTCACTAATCTTTTATAGTTAACTGTGCTATTACATGATAGATATCCTTTGTGTATCAATACACTGTAAAAAATTGATTTCTGAACTCAAACAATTTGTTCACCCTCATTACTGACCACTTTGTTATGTCAGTATGAGCAACTCAGCTTTTGGTTCTGCACATTTTGCAATTTTAAGTTTTACTCTCCATTTGCTATGTTAATATGTTTACTTAAAATAATACTTCATAATATTAGCTTTTCTCCATAAACAATTCTTGTCATTGAACAATTGTTTCAGATAGCCTCAGGCCCTTCAGTATAGGATTTCTGGCAAGGTTTAGAATGTAAATATGTCAGTTGTATCACCATCAATTTTTTAATAATTTGTTATTGGGTGAGTTTAGTAAAATGGAAATTAACATTCCAGACAACACAGTTCTTTCTCATCTGATAGCATAAGGTCAGTGCAATGGGAAAATCTTGGCAAATTGGGGTGTTTCTATTAACCTTTTCCAAAACTAAACCTTAAATTAATGCTGCTATCCAGCAAAAAATGCTATAAATAATTCTCCCACTATTTACTACTTAACAATTTGTGTGATTTAAATGTGCAGATTTCTTAAATCAAAACCAAACTGAAGAAATCCATTTTTGTTGAACACAAACTGTGTTCCAGTCACAGTGCCCAATGCTTTAATTGTAATATATCACTTATTTTCCAGAACAATCTTGTGGCATAGGTGTTATTATATCCCTTTTGAAAATAAATCTAGTAGATAGCAGAGATATTATGTTAATTTAGTTCTGATTCAGTTTATAGCTCATATTTTAGAAAACAATAGTTTGCATCATTCGTGTATCAGGTAGGCAGTGTTCCCCATCAACCAGATAAAGAACCAGGACCAAAAATTTCTCTGGCCTTTATTACATAAAACTGTACACATAATTTTTTTCTTCATAAATTAGTATATTGTTTCTAGTAACTTTGACAATCACCAGTCATATTTCATTCTTTAAAATGAAAAGAGTATGTCACATGACTACTCTGAGGTTTAAAAAACTAATAGCTAAAAGCCCTTATTATGAGGACCCTCAAGGGAGTAGTTGGCAAGATGAATCTGAATTTGTAAGTTGCAATTTGAATTTGAAATGTTTTATTTCTTGTTCATCCTACTCATCAAATAATAAAGCTTTTTTCAACATATCGTATGAAGGAAAAATATTGATCAAAATTCCATGTTAATTTCACAGGTGATGGAAGTAAAAGGTCAAATGATCCATGTGCCAGAATCAAATTCCATTTTATTTCTGGGCTCCCCATGTGTGGACAAGTTGGATGAACTCATGGGCCGGGGCCTGCATCTCTCAGATATCCCTATCCATGATGCCACCCGAGATGTCATTTTGGTTGGCGAGCAGGCAAAAGCCCAAGATGGTTTGAAGAAGAGGATGGACAAATTAAAGGCAACTTTGGAAAGAACTCACCAGGCCCTGGAAGAAGAGAAAAAGAAGACAGTGGATCTTCTGTATTCTATTTTCCCTGGCGATGTGGCCCAGCAGTTGTGGCAAGGGCAGCAAGTGCAAGCCAGAAAGTTTGATGATGTCACCATGCTCTTTTCGGACATTGTAGGCTTCACAGCCATATGTGCCCAGTGTACCCCCATGCAGGTGATCAGCATGCTGAATGAACTGTACACTAGATTTGACCACCAGTGTGGATTTTTGGATATTTATAAGGTAATGGATTTTAGTTACTTAAATATACATATTATTTAAAAGCAAATTGTCATCGTAAGTTTCAAAATGCATTTTTTACTTGAACTTAAGAATAATTTATCTATATCTCTTTAACTAGAAGCCTTAATACAGAATACAGGTTTTTATGCTTTATAAGTAAACTTTCATTATAAGTCAACTTATACTATTGATATAAGTAACTGTAAATCCTGATATTGCTCAGTAAGAATTCTGTATAGCTAGTTCTCTAAATTCATTGTTATTTTAAAAAAATTAAACTTGTAATTCTAGACAAATTTGAACTACATAATTATTCTTGGTTAAAGAATGAAATTATGATATTAACTAAGAATCTTATGTTGACAGTTACAAGGAAATAGCAAAGCATATTAAAATGTGCATTGCATTATCAGTGAAACCATGGTTAATCAATTAAGTGAAACTCCTTTAATTCTAAAAGAATACATGTAAATATCCTAGTTACTGCCCAAATGATTGCCTTTTGGTAGATTAATTTTTGAAGCTACATAATGCAAAAACTTTCATAATGGGAACCGATAACCATTTATTGATTTGATTTGGCAAATTTCTTAGTTTATTTCTTGTTAGAAGCATAGCAACATCTTGAGTAATTTAACCAGTAATGAATAACTCTACAACTTTTAAATGGAATTTTATATGGATCACACAGTTTCAGAGTAGAGGGCTTTTTTATAGGAAGGGTAACAAATACTAATATAAACAGTCCAACTAGACAAGCTGTTTATTTTTGTAGTTTGATTTTCACATAAGCAGATTTGGAAAGAATCATCTGTTTTATTTTATTAGTTTCTTATTATGTTCCAGAAGATGTTTCATCAAGGTATATCTTCTGGAGAAAGGAGTCCTCTCTCATTGCATTTTGTAAAACATAGAACCAGTGTTCAGTTATTTCAGTTAAGTCTCTTCTGAATGGTAAATAGTCAAAGTGGAGACTATATGAGGGTTTTGCCTTTTTATACACAATAAGAATTACTATAAGTAGTTTTTAACTTCTTTATAGTTTATTATTATACCATTTATAATAGAGGTATTGCCAAGTATATAGCCAACTGTCTGATTCTAAGCCGACAAGATACTAGAGTGTATCTATCAGTGTAATGCCCTGTCATTTCTAGAAGAGAGGGGAAATTAGCTTGGATTTGCCAACACTTTCCTTCCTCCAGATTTGGACATTATTATATCAATTTCTGCAATCACCAATCTTTTCCTTCAAAGTCACTGACTTTCAGCGTTAGCTTCTTTTAGCTAAAACAGGTATTTTCTAGTCCTAAATTTCTACAATTAAATGAGGAATGTACATGGACAAATAGATCCACTTTTGAAAAATCTTGGGAATCCCTGGTTTAAATAAAAGTATAAGTTAGGTTTTGAGATGAACAAATGGGACTTCTGAGGGTACCACAACAATGTCAGAGTTTAAAACTACAATTACCTTACACAGACATCAAATGTTCCTTCCTTTGAGATTAGCTGGGAAACCTCAGAAAAAGAAGATCTGTGGAAATATCACGTGACATTAAAATTGTCCTGTATGTTATTAAATTATGGGCAATTTTATGTAGTGATAAATAATTATCAGCACCTTTTAACTTGCAAAATGGATTTTCTCTTTCTCTGATACACAACCTTGAATGTGTGCACGTGTGTGTGTTGTGGGGGGGGGCGTATATTTAAAAAATAAACAGAAACAATCCAGTTCACAAAATTTCTTAGACTAAGCTTGCTTATGAAACTTAATTAATATATACAAATAAAATCCAGGGCTAGGTGTTTTTAAAATGTCATTGATGCTATGGGATAATGTGTGCTGAAGCCACAGTGGTGACAAGTATGTCCAGAAAGAGGGAATAATGAATATTTCCTCTGTATAAAATAAAGATAAAATGAAGTACATTATAAGAAGGGATATAAATTAAAAATTCTGCATTTGACTTGCCTGCTTTCTAATAATTATAATTATTACAGTTTATTTTCTGGAAAGTTTATCGAACACTATTTTATACCATGAACCTACTTGCTATTTTATACCATAAACTTTCTGCAAAAATTTAAATTACTGAAATTTTAAAAATCCCAAAGGCTACACTTTCTTTCTTTTTTTTTTTTTTAAGGATCCCAATTCTGATGATTTAGTAAAATGAAGAGTTTTGCTAGATTTAAAATGTGGGTAGAATTTTTAATGGAATAATCATTTCACAGAGATAAATACAACCCACTTTTATTATATGTTAGGAATATGAAAGGAAAACAGGTAACGACAAATGCCATTGAAAAAGAGCCAGAGGGGGTGGCTCAGATGAGGCATTCAAAGTCTGCTGTGACACAGTGAAACTCTGAGTCTCTAAACTTGTGGTTTCCCTTTCCTTAATCATCTCATTATTCCGTGTTTCTCTATCATGAGGGAAAAACGATGACAATTGTAAGAGAATTCAGTTCCTTGTGACAGGACATGGTAAGAAAGAAGATTCTGCTAAAATAACCAAGCCTTCCTTTACTGTGCATATTTTAAGCATTGAGAAAGTTAAAGTCTACAGTGGTTGGCTACCAAGATGTTAAAGGTATGTGAATACTAAGTGGGAACTAGGTAACTTGAAGGAGGCACAAATGTCCTTTTGATTCTCCTGTAACTAGGAAGGCAGATATGTTCAGGAAAAAGCCAACATAAATAATGTACTACATACTGTGTTTCCCCTCAGATTTTGTAGAGTATAGAGAATCAAAAATCAAGAAAGAAAGAAGGAACAAGTAACTCTTAACTTATTGGATCTAATAATGCTTTATAGATGATGATGATGATGGTAATAACAATGAAAATCATAACAATCACATTGGATAATAAAGCAATAATGTAGGTTTTGCCTTATTTTATGTTTGCACTTTGACAAACCCTTTGAGAGGCAGAAAGAAAGGCAAGTACTTCCCCAGCTCCTCCCATTCTATTCTGCTAAAGTTGCAGCATCTCACTGCTCCTTAGAGTTCTCATCTTTTCAGCTTTAATCACCTTCTTAATCTCACTGTTCTCCAGTACCATACAGTATAAAATAAAAATACTAATTAATCTGTCTCACAGCTACATCTTATTTCAGTGAGCTTATAAGAATGGCACTTAGACCAGCACTGGGGTAGAGTAGTAAATGTCAGGTTATCTGCCATTTATTGAGATATTACATTATCTCTACTTTCAGATAAAGCAACTGAGCTTCAGAAAGGTAAAATAATGCAGATAATAAATCAGAGCTTTAACTGAGACTCATAGGGGCCCCACCCCCCAATATTCTTGCATGGGGATTAAGTTTTCAACATATGATTTTTTAAAAAAAAATTTTATGTCTCTTCTTTATTCATTTCAATATTTTTATATAACTTTCAATTCTAAATAAAATCTTCTCTAACAATTACTATTATTCTCTTTGGTATAATTTTAATTGTTTTATTATGTTTTTTATTGGTGCATTATAATTATACATAATAGCAGGGTTCATTGTGACATATTCATACATGCATATAACGTAATTTGCTCCATTTCATTTCCCAGTACTTCTCCTTTCCCTCCCATCCTCCCTCCCCTTCTTTTACTGGTCTTGCTTCTAGTACTTTTTCAATTCATGCATTATAATTATACATAAAGTGGGATTAATTATGATACATTAATACATGTGTATAGCATAATTCATTCTATTTCATTCTCTAGTACCTCCCCTTTCTCAACACATGAATTTTGAGAGACACATTCAAATCATAACACACTATAAAAATGAATACAGAGTTCAGAAGTAAATAGTGATACATATCTATAACAGAAAGGTTTATATATAACGTGATCAGTGTTTTGTTTGAGTGTGTATGTTAAACACAGCTAGGCAAGTCCTGTGGATTTGGGCATCCCGGTGGAGATTGTTTAGGCTTTGCCCAGATATGCTATCATTCCTGAATTTGTATATTCGATAAGGCGTTATCATGGAGTTAAATCCCCACCTTTAACCTTCTTGTTAATAGAAGAGAGCAGACATTGCTCACATAAAGTTCCAAAGCTGCAGAACTTTATGCCTCAAGAATTTTTATTTGTCTTGACGTTTGACAATACTGAGCTACCAAAGCCGTCTGTTCACTGGACCTTCAGCCAGCCTTCAGAAAAAAGCAGCACAATCTCTCAAGGGTGTCACTGCAGTATGAATATGATTTTGCATAAATGAAATGTTTCCTTTTCTTCTCGTTTTGCTTTAGAATGAAACAAAAAGCCTTTTAAAGTACTTAGGTTATTCTTGGAATTTTATAAATATGTATATTTCATTTTGTTCTATTTCCCAGAATTAAATGCCAGTTCCATTTAGTACAGAGTAACTGGTTCACCACCCCCCTAAATTTACATATTTTATGGGTTTTAATGACCAGTGCACAAACTTTTGATATTGAACACAATTAAAGATTTATACTGGTCCTTTTCAGCAGTCTCCATCAATATCAGCATCATATACTTTTGCTGCTATTTGACTGGAAATGAAGCAACAATGTCTTCCTGTAAGTTAGAAAAGAAGAATTTTTGAAGAGAAAATTATTCAGTTCACTCATTATCTCATTCAATAAACATTTTAACTTATTCATTTGATAAGGTGGAATAGCTTCCATAGAAGCTAACAAAATGTTATGCAAATTGACTATTTTTATCATGATTTTAATGAGTGCAAAGAACTAATTTATACGTTTTAGGAGGCGAGGTGAAAGGCACAGATAAGCATTGTGTTTTGCTGCCTTTTCTACTAGCAGAATTATATAGTTAGTTTCAAAATACTATATAGTGCTCTAAAAATTGGTGAAGAGGGGTTTGTTCAATTAATATTTTTGCCTTTGGCATTTAGGCTGGAGATAAGCAAGCAGCAAGGAGAAGGATAGATCCTTCTCTTCATTCCTCTCATTCAAATTGGCCACAGCTGTGCAAACTCAGTCCTCTATTAAGTTCC